TGGAGCTTTTGCAGTCCCTGGGGCTCCAGCTATTCCAAGATGTTGGTGGGCTGTGTTCCTTTCTGGAGGCCCCGGGGAATTCAGATTTCTGCTCATTTGGGTCATTGGCAGAATCCAGTTCCTTGTATTTGTAGGAAACAATGTCTCTAAGCTCCCTAGAGGCTCTCTGGTTATATGGAGCAGAGTTTTGAAGTCACAGTCACTTTCTTCATTTTGTCTGTCTGAACTCGGTCCTTTTGATCTTGCTGACCAGAGCTGGCCTCAGCTCCTAGGGTTCCTCTGCAGTCCTAGCACACAGCTGTATCCCAGAACCAGCAAGGGGGCATCAGACAGCCTGATCATACATGTGTCCGGCTCTTCTGTCTGCATTCTTTTCCCTGCAGCTGGGAGGGAGCTCAGTGTGATTACATTGAGCTCAATTGAGGTAAGTCTGATTGCAACGAGCATAACATTACTTACATATGCAAAGTCCCATTGGCCATTCTGGGACCTGCACGGATTCTCGGGATTAGGGCATGGACATTTTGGGAGCAATTATTCTGTCTACTACAGTTTATCCTCTATTCCCCAGATTCCTATCTGTTCTGCTTGCAAAATAAACCTAACCCAAGGTCCTAAAAGGTCTCTTTCTAATGTGGACTCAACATTGAAACCTCACGAGCCCCAAAGTCCAAAACCTCATGTGTTGTGACCTTTTCAAGACCATTCAAGGCTATACTGGTTCACTCTGGATTCAGGCAGGTGGAAGAAAATTCACAGAGCTGCCGGGATATCTGACATGCCTTTATTCTTGGGTGGGACGATCCATGCACACTGTAAGCCATGTGTCCCCCAGCATGTTCCTGCATGTCACATAGCGGGAAGTCCCAACTCCCTTATATATTACATGCACACAAAGCTGGCAAGGTGCCGAAACATTATACAACAGCGCTCCATTCTATGAGTGAGGGCCCACTCCAGGTTATGGGAACAGTTTATCAGGCCCATACTTATGGGAAACTGCTTATCTTAGTTACCCAAACACCTGGGTGAGGGACTCAGACTAACTGTTTACCCTACACCTCATCATCTAAACTGTCAAAATCAGTTATGGTGAGATGCTGGTTGTAATGCACACTGGGGTGCATTATCTCCCCTCTGTGGGTCTGATACTAAAAATCAAGGTAACTGCTCCCAAAATAAAATGGTAGAACAGACCAAGAATGATAGCTACATACATTGTTTCAAAAGGGGAGAAAAATGGAAGGGAAAAGGAGACGTGATTCCCAAGACATTTTGAAAGCAAGCTTGGCAAACTATGTTAAAGATCAAGCCCTGGGAACATGATATGTGGTTTAGGGCCCTGCCCACTGGGCTGGAAGCTTCCCACTCTGGGTTCTGCTCTGCTGAGTCATGCTTCCGTTTTCACGAAAGGTAACACAGGGTTTCAGCTCATCTTTTTCAGCCAGTTTCATATATGCATTGAAGGTCAACAGCCTTTAATTTCATACTATTTAGTTATTTATTCTTCCCTCCCCAACCAAGATATTCTCACTGCTTTTAGAGAGAAAGGAAGGGAGGGAATAGGAGGGGAAAAGGGAGAGGGAAAGACAGACATCAATTAGAGAGATATTGACTGGCTGCCTCCCAGGGACTGAATCCACAACCCTCTGGTCCACAGGACAACACTACAACCAACCAAGTCAACTAGCCAAAGCTTCATACTAGCACTTTAGATCCAAGGTATTTCTACCACAATAAACTTTTCAAGAAGTTTGTGGGTGTCTTATGTCAAGAGATTCACTCTATCATATAGAAGGTTGGTTGACAGATTTTTTTCCCCCTAAGTAATTCCGTATCTGTTTTTGGCTTTTACTGAGATGGTTAAAGGACACCTTTAAGCCTCCTGGATGCTCTCCGATTTTTATATGAATTAATACTTTTAAAAAAACCTTTCTGAGATACTACAAAAGGTGTACAGCCACATCCATGGCTATTTCTCTAGAACATGTTTTCTTTACCACAAATCTCTTCATTGCAATGCCTTTTGCAATCAAGATGGGTTGAGAATTTCCCATATCAAGTCTTTTCTATTCAACAGTTCCTCCCTATACTTTTCTCTTCCCTGTCACACTTTACTACAATCAGTAAGAAGACACAAGGTCATTTTCAACACTGTTGTTGAGTTCCTGAGCTAAATGTCCATAAAAAGACTTGTACATGAGTATTTGCAGCAGCTTTATTTTTAATATTTAGGATCTGGAAGAAAAACAAATGAAGGGGCATGAGGTGACACTGGAGGTGATAGCTATGTTCAGAATTATGGCTAGGATGCTTTCATGTGTATACTAAGGTTTACTAAATTGTGCACTTCATATTGTATGTTGACTACATTTCAAAGAAAGTATTAAAAAATTATTCTACCTAGAAGTCTGGGTCCCCCATTTCTACCGGAAAACCAGAAGTTTGAGCACCAGTATAGTCACTCTGCCATCTCATCCCAAATGCCTTGTGAAGAGAATCTCTTCCTCAGTAGCAAGAAAAACTGATAAGAAATGAAGGCTGTTTCCAGTGAGTCACCAGAAACTGGCTAGTCACAAAATCTTTATCCTTGGACCACAATTTCACTCTACTCTCAGTCCCAGGGTTCCTGCCCCTGCAGCCAAGACATCGGGTACAGCCCAGGGAGGCACAGGTGTTGAGGGAAACTTCACAGTTCTTTACCGTGCTGCTGACCTTAGTCATGAGTGAGAAGCCTGGAGGTCCTGAGAATTTCCATACACCCAGATCTCATATGACCATGGTGACAGATGTGTTTACCAATGTGTTTTTACAAAGGGTACAGCCACTCCTTTTTGCTGCAGTCTCTACAATCCCAATTATTCACACTCAGCATTTCTGTATCAATTGTTTCCCTCCTGGACAGAACAGATCTTACAGGCAGTGTACCAGATTCTGGCCTTCAGGGCATATCACGCTTTTCAGGTTGTAAAGGACAGCTTATACTCAACAGTGCTGGGGATATGGGTCATATGCTAGAAACAAGACACTCAATCCATGCTGTTTCCAAACATGTTGTAGGTTGTTACAACAGCACCTTCCTTAAAGTGATGTCTGAGCTCTCAAATAATTCTGAAATGCAGAGAACATCAGTTCGAGCCCTGAATCCTCACCTAACAAGCTTTTCTCATGCAAATTAAAATGGTAAGGTACCACCTCACAACTTGTCAGAATAGTGATCATCAATAAATCAACAAACAAGCACTGGCAAGGATGTGGAAAAAAGAAACTCTCATGAATGGTTGGTGGGAGAACAGATTGATGTAGCCACTGTGGAAAATACTGTGGAGTAATCTCAGCAAATTAAAAGTGGAACTGCTCTTTGACCCAGCAATACCACTTGTGAGAACCTATCCAGATAAATCCAAAACACTAATTTGAAAGGATATATGCACCCCTATATTCACTGCAGTGTTATTTTCAATAACCAAGATCTGGAAACAGCCCAAGTGCTCACCAGTAGATGAACAGATTAAACAAAAACTGTGTGGTACATTTACATATTGGAATACCCCTGAGCCATTGGAAAGGAAATCTTACCTTTTGTGATGAACCTAGAAAGTATTATGCTAAGTGAAATAAGCCAGAGAAAGATAAATGCCCTATGACTTCACTATGTGTGGAATCTAAAGAACAAAATAATCTAACAAAAAAGAAACAGAATAGCTATATAGAGTAACAGCTGTCAGAGGGGAAGGAGGTTGGGTGGAAAAGGTGATTTAAAATATACATACATACATATGATGCACAGACAACGCCAAGGGCAAGGGGGTGGTCAGGGCAAATGGAAGAAGGCAAAGGAATAAATGGGGAGACTTTACTTTGGGAAGTGAGAACTCAATGTAGTATGCAACTGTTTTGTACACTTGAAACCTGTAAGGTTTTATTAACGTCACTCCCAATAAATTAAAAAAAAAAAAAGAGGCAACTCTGCCCTCTGATAAACCTTGTTTTATCCAATGTTTCTCTAGGCAACCTAGTATTAAAGTTCTTTACACTGGTTTTCTTCACTATATCTAAATAGTGAACAATTTAATTTTGAGTAAGGGTTAGTTTTAAAAAAGGTTAGAAATTCCAATGAGATACTATTCTTCTACTTTGGTTAACTGTTAATTCTAATTACATATATTTGTGCTTTCTCCTTTTTATTGATTAGTACTATTTTCTCTATTTTTTCAAAGCACTTCCACATTTCTTAATTCTTTTTTCCTAATTTTTAAAAAGATTGTTTACTTATTTATAGAGGGAGGTGAAGGGAGAAAGAGGGGGAGATACAATGTATAATTGCCTCTCTTTTATGACCCCACCATGGACCTGGCCCATGACCCAAGCATGTACCCTGATTGGGAATCAAAGGCCACTTTTGATTTGCAGGCATGCACTCAGCCCACTGAGCCACACCAGCCAGGGAACTACTGTAATTTTTTGTCACATTTGTTTCCCACTTTTCCTTGGTTTGTTTTAGGAATTAGCTATTTTACACATTTTCATTGTAATGATACCTACTTTATCTGTATCCTAAAATCTCAATTTTTTTAAAAAGACTTTCTTTTTAGAAAGGGAGAGGAAACATCAGTGTGTGGTTGCCTCTCATGTGCCCCCTACTGGGGACCTGGCCTGCAACCTAGGCACGTATCCTGACTGGGAATCAAACCAGCAACCCTTTGGTTCGCATGCCAGCACTCAATCCACTGAGCCACACCAGCCAGTGCCCAATATGTTGTTTTTAAATTTTGTATTTCTTCTTGAGAATTTGTTAAAAAAGAAAATCTTTTCTCAGCAATGGAAATTAACACCAGAGACGGACTGATGGACTGAGAAGTGTTCTCTACCAACCTGCTGTCCCAGTCCCATTTGAGGCACCCAAAGTTGGAGGCATCTACATTCTTCACCTCTTCAATCTGGCAGAGCTTAATTGTTTTCAAACCACTGAAACACTGAAAACAACCTCCAAAACTAAAGGTGGCTCAAATAATGTCTTTATTATCACACAAATCAGAGCAACATGAGGCAAGTAGTTCTTCAGGCTGAGTCGCTTGGAAGGCTGGAAAAATCCATTAAAACTATCACAAGACAAACAATGTCCATGAGGAAAGTAAACCTTTCATGCCACCAGAACATAACTCAGGTCCTCTTGGCTAAAGATGGGTTGTGTTCACACCTTTACCAGTCAGCAGGGAGGAAATGAGGCCCCTTCCTCACTTAACTCAGGTTTATCCTAATTCTCCCAGAGACTGGAGACAGTAACAACATTCTGCCTTCTCTGAGGATATCAGGACAACTTAGCTGATAGAGCTAAAATGTTTTCCACCAGACATTGACACTGAGAAATCTAGCAAGGAGCCTGAGCAGGTCTGAAAGTGCAATATAGCCCCTGAAAACTTTCCTTATACCCATCAGTTATATAGTATCTCCCCAATGTTAATGTTCAGATATATGGAGATCAACATCTGACTAATGCCTTCCTCTCAAAGGGAAATCACAGATTCCCTTTCCATATGAGTGCTGTTCTGTTGACAGCACTCCTAAAGCCTTCCTGTAGTGTGAACTTTCTGGTGCCGAATGAGGTGGGAGCTTAAGCTATAGGATTTCCCACATTCATTGCACTCATATGGCCTTTCTCCAGTGTGAACTTTTTGGTGCCGAACAAGGTGGGAGGTTCTTATGAAATCTTTCCCACATTTGCTACACACAAAAGGCCTTTCACCAGTGTGAACTCTCTGGTGTGCAATAAAGTCAGAGCTTCGACTAAAAAATTTCCCACATTCAGTGCACTCAAAAGGCCTTGTCTCAGTGTGAATTCGCTGGTGTTTAATGAGGGTGTACTTGTGGCCAAAGGATTTTCCACAATCACTGCAAACATATGGATTTTCTCCAGTATGGATGCTCTCATGCTGAACAAGTGTAGATTTGTGTCTGAAGACTTTCCCACAATCATTACACTTATAAGGCCTTGCTCCATTGTGAACTCTCTGGTGCACAATCAGATTGGAGTGATGGCTAAAATATTTCCCACATTCACCACACTTATAAGGCATTTCTCCAGTGTGAATTCTTTTGTGCTGTGTAAGGTTGTCTTTGCGGCTAAAGGATTTCCCACACTCGCTACATTCATAAGGCCTCTCTCCAGTGTGGATTCTCTGGTGCTGCACAAGTGTGGCTTTGCGGCTGAAGGCTTTCCCACACTCACTACACTCATAAGGCTTTTCTCCAGTGTGGATTCTCTGGTGCTGAACAAGCGTGTCTTTGCGGCTGAAGGCTTTCCCACATTCACTGCAGCTGTAAGGCATCTGTCCAATGTGAAAGGCCTCCCTACCCTCATTGCCACTTGTCTTCCTCTTGCCGCGGGTTGCCTTTTGCTGGTGACTGCCCAAACAGGTCTGGAAGTTTTTCTGTTCCTCCGCACATGTAAATGATGTCTCTGACAGATGAGGTTCTTCACAAACTCTGCAGTTCTTCACAAATGAGGTCTTGCCTTTGTCTCTCCTTAAGGATCTCTCTACATTGTACTGCTTCTGGTGCTGAAGGAAGTTTGCACCAAATAAGAATTGTCTCCCACATGCCCTACATGTGTAAGGTTTCAGTCCATGGTGTGTTTCCTGGTGTTCATCCAGGCACAAAACATCCTTCAAGATGGGGCCACATATATTACAAGGATGAGCCATCTGGACTGATGAACCTGCCTTGGAAGTATTATGAACATGTGACACTTCCACAGACTTGCTCTGCTCAGAAGATGCCTCTTCATCCTTCACTTCAAGCCAACAACCTGAGAGCAGAAAAACACCGTTGAAGCGCACACTGACTGGTGAGAGGGACAACCCCATCACAAAAGTGTGTCTAGCATACCCAGAACTGAGTCCATGAAATAAGTGGTTGACAGGAAGACAGATTTGGGATCAGGTTAAAGAGCTGCTGGGCATTACTAGCCTCTAAGGATCACAGAATGGGGAAGGTCTCACAAAAGACAAAGATACAAGGCTGAGGCATAGCTTAGGGAGAAGCAGGCAGGATCTCCCACTTCCTCCTTGCAAATTGACTTTTAAAAGGGCCTATTAGTAACAAGTGAGTGCTATACAGAAATGTATGTCTAGGCCCAGGAAAACCTGACTTAAAATTAGTAACTGGTAGTGAAGAACTATTTAAAGATACTTGTACATCTCCGATACATGAGCATTGTCCAATATGGGAGATGACAACAGAGGGAGCAATAGAGCACACTGGTGAGTGGGGTGGAGAGCTCTGGGTCACAAGTCAGAATAGAAATGACAAGCATGTAAAGTGTCCACAATGGGGAGGAAAAACAGAAATAAGGTATGGCCTGGGCACCAAACAATAGTGGGCACACAATAGTTTTCTGGTGCTACTTGAACCCAACCCTGAAGTCATACACTTCCCAGGCTGTCACTTACCAGGGCCCATCCAAGCCCCCTCTGCTGTGGCTAGAGTCATGACCTCAGGTCAGTCAGGTACTCAAAGAGTTCTTTCCCTTGCTACTATTCAGCAACCACAGATGATCTGGAAGATACAAGTCATAGAGGAAAAAGGGCCATTGAGTGAGAAAGTACTTCCCCAGGGCAGCCTACCCATCAGCAATCAGTATCTTAAAGAAACAACCCAATGGGTCCCACAAGTAATAACCATGACTGTATTTCATGACACAGATAGGTCCAGGAAAGTATCAATTAAAGAAAGGGGTCAGGGACAAAGCAATTCAGCCTGGAAGAAGTCAAGCAGGGTAGTATCCATTGGGCTGACTACACAACTCCTGACCGTGACACCCTTTCAGCTAATGGTTTGGGGCAGCAGGTGCTGGAGAGCACAGGAAGTGGAAGAGACAGTACATGGTACACATTACAGCCAAACCCTGAGGGCCCATGTGAGGGAATGAGGGAAAACAGCAGTGCCCATGGTTCAGCTACAAAAAGGAGAAAAAAAGAGCAGAGCACAGACTCAAAAACTAGAACACAGAGAATCTTACCCAGGATGACCAAAAAGGCAAAGCACACAAAGAGAGTCTCTGAACCTTATCAAGTAATCCCCACTCCTCCCAGGAGAAAAACACAAGCACATCCTTAAAAGTCACATGACCCCACATGATGAGGGCAGCCTGTCTCCCCAGGACTACTGGTATATCCATCATATTTCACCTTCCTCTCTAGTTGCCCAAGTCAAACAAGACACAGGGCCTTTGTGTGACTGGTGCCTGCTCTTTCCTCATTTTCCATGAATCATTCTGTCCAGCCTAGACCAGGCTGGTGGACAGGTAGATAGACACTGCCTAGTTTGGGACTGGCGTGCAGGGCCCAACCCTTCTCTGGAGTCCAGAGATTATGCCTCTCATATACAAATTTTGAGCTTAGCATTCCCCCTAAAACCCTCAGTACCATAAATTAAGATTCCATCTCCACGTATGGTCACTCTAAGTTCAGATCACATTTCCCTTTTATCTATGGTCACCTACAACCGTGATGTATCAGGCTGAGACTCTAACCAACTCAGGCCCTGTGAACCTAGCTATTCAATCCTCTGCTACTTCACTGAACTTCAGCAATCCAGAACCATGCACCACTATCAGACACATCCAGCCCTTTTGTACTTTGATGTTGCACACTGAGGATGCTATATCATTCATCAGTCAGAGGCTTAACACTAAACACTCATTTAAGGCCACACCTACTGGCCTTCTATCCCATGAGTAGTGGTCCACCAACTGTGGACCAACCGACTCAATTGCCCCTGAGCTAATTTGCCGGCTCAATTGAAACTCCACGTCCCATCAAATGTCACCACAAAAGCCTGGGAAGCACAGAGAGGGCAATAAGCATCAGCTCTGGCCTCACTTTCATTTCATCTCTTTTACTACCACACCCCAGCATGCATCTCATGTCCACTCTTTCTCTGGAAGACTTCACCACCTGTATTTCCCCCCAACCCCCACACGAACACAAATACTAACCCCCCCCCCCATTTCTTGTCTCTCAGGTGACTCCTACTCCCAATCTTCTGTGCCCATCTACTTTCCAGACCACTAATGGCAATACCACCATAACATAAAGGTTCTCTATACAAATCTAATACACAACTCTATCCTAATACACATACTGACTGCTACCTTGTGGATGTCTCCAACTTGAATCCCTCCTCTGAACTCTAAACCCATGGGTCTAGCTGTCCATTTGACAACTCCACTCAGATGTTTCACCACCTCAACTGAGAATTTTTCTATCCTTACAGCTTATTAGGCCAAAAACTGAAGGGTGGTCTCTAACTCCTCCCTTCTTTCTCTTCCCCTCCACATCAGAAAATCATTCCCTCCACTGTTTCAAATCTTCCATGGCTCTAACCACTCTCAGAACATAAGTCCAGCTCAACAGGGTGTCATTCCAAAACTGAATCTTGTCGCCCACTCTCTGATCACACCAAACATAATGGAGACCTGAGGTTTTCTGAACACTCCAGTGCAACCTCAGGTGATGCATTTGCATATTCTAGTTCCTGTGCCTGGGACATTGTTCCCAGCTTCATCCCATTACTGCTAGAAATGGAAACCCTTTCATGTAATTCAAGAATAAAGTCAGGGCTCAAGACCTTTGGTGACATGGGGAGCCCCAAACTCAGTAGCAGATAGAAGATAGGTTCAGAGTCCTGGGACACCATTCACTATAATAAGTTGTTAGATATATGGGTGATGGTGGGTTGAATGAGGACCACCTGCACAGTCTCCAGTCATCTATGCATGGATCTCGAGCACTTCTGCCACAGCAACCTGAAGGATGAGGGAGCTGGGAGTTTCCACAGTGGGGTCACATGGACTATTTCCCTAACTCCTCCCTGCCCTTTGGTGAGGATGATTTCAGGCTGTCTGACTTCAGATACTCACATCTTAGTGTCACCTGCTACCATCTGTGTGACCTTGAACAAAGATCTGTGTCTCAGTGTCCTCATCTGTAAAGCTGTGATTACAGTGGTCTCCACCTAACAGAGGTGCTGTTTTATATCAGACATGTTAGTACAGGTTAAGTACCTTTGAATTAGCTTTTACTGTCCGTAACACTTGCAAACAGTTTTGTTGCAAATGAAGTGATTTTTGAAAGTGTTTGTTTTTAATCTTTTAAGGAAATGTGATATTTGAGACTCTCATTGTAATGAGATATTTAGAGGAAAGAACTTCAATCAATTAAGGATGGATATAAATCTGATTTATCCTATTTACATATGTTAACATTTAATTGCCTGCTTATGCATGTATACTTGCCAGGTGTTCACTAGTCTTTCACCAAACCAGCCTACCTGGCACATACACCTCTGAAAGTAAGCCTGCTAGTGGTCCTTCATTACAGATGTTCATCATATCTTCTCACCCGCAAAATTAAGAAACTGATGTACCAAGGCCCTGAATTGGGCTAGAGCTGCTCCACTAGCCTGGCAGACTTTTTCTCTGCTCCACTAGCCTGGCACACTTTTTCTCTGCTCCACTAGCCTGGTAGACTTTTTCTCTGCTCCACTAGCCTGGTAGACTTCTCCTCTGCTCCACAGGCAGTGCTTATGGGGCATGATGAGTCCACACCATGGCAAATCTACAGCACCTCACACCTTACTCTCCCTCCAGGTCAGGCTCCTAATACCCTATAGCACTCTTCTCCTGCTCACATCTGTCAGATCCCTTTCAAATGACAGGACCCCTTCTTTCCGGAAGGAATCTCAGGAATATCCATACCTTCTCCCATGCCCTCAAATCTCTCACCTCAGGGGCCACATAAAATAACATCCTTAATATTCTTCCCCTAAATGTGATCTCCAGGGTTTGACCTGAGGCCTCATCCCTTAGAGGTTTCCAGCACAGTTCACTCTGCAGAATTGCACGTCCAGTTGCCCATGTAACACCTCCACTGTGAGACACCTCAGGCTTATCATGTCCAAAAATCTAACTCCTGATAGCCCTGAAAGGTGCTCCCTGCTCCAACTTACCCATTCCCAGTCTTCAGATGTACAGGGGAAAAACCAACAAAAAAACTTGGAATAGCCCCTCATGCCCTATTTTCACTCACAGCCATTATCTGGCCCAGTAGCAAATCCTGTTGCTTCTATCTGGGAAACCTCTCTAGGATTGAATGACTTCCCCACTCTCAACCCCTCCTGCCCCTGCTCTGGTACTGCCAACACCACACTGCTGGTTTCTGCTGCCTCCTCACGGCCACCCTCCTCCATCTTCAGGATCCCCACCCCACCCTAGTCCGTTGGAATACTTGCGTCCTCGCAATTAAAGTACTCGCCTCATCCTGCCACTCCGGCCGGCCATGACTAGTGCTCACACGCTGCAACTCTGGCACAGGCCAGGACTGCAGTTTCTAGAACGCTCCAGGTTCGGTTGTTCCTCCCACGTCTCATCCGACTAGCTGTTGTATACGGAGTCTCCATCCACAAACTGCCTGGGCTACAGTGACTTCAACAGCGACCGCTCATTCATTCTAGGGCTTAGTATTCGGAAATGAGAATCAGGCTGAATCAAGGTCCGGGACACAGCACCTACCTAGGCCGGGCCCATTCCCCGCAGGCGCCCCCATCACGGTCTAGACAGCGTAGAGCTGTGAGGATTCTGAGTCCTGACGCATATCCCCGTGGTCGCTGCGACCGCAGAGACTCTTCCTAGCGACAACGGGGTCTCCTCGCTTTCGTCACCTCAGAACTGAACTACAGCTTTCTAACCGTGCCATCCTAGAGCCACAAGATGTCCGCCGCGAGGAAGACGCCGGAAGTCCCGCCCAGGCACCTTGCGCCCACTTGGAAATGCCTACCAAAGCTCCCCGACCGTGCGGCGCATAGATTTCTGGGTAATGTAGTCCGCTCTGGATTGTACCTGAATCAGACTCTCTCCGGTACCGCGATGGGTGCTGGGAAGTGGTCCCTCCACTTCGCTCCTCTTACGCGTGGTGGAAGGAATGTTTATGGACGTATTCTCTCAGATATTCCCAAAGCTACAGAACCAAATCGGAGTGCCACATGAAATGTCGCTGAGTTCACTCCTATGTCCTTGTTCTTTTTTTTTTCCCCAAAGATTTTATTTTTTTACTTTTAGAGAGGAAAGGGAGGGAGAGAAACATCAATGTGCAGTTGCTGGGGGCCGCGGCCTGCAACTCAGGTATGTGGCCTGACTGGGAATCAAACTTGCGACACTTTGGTTCGCAGCCCGTGCTCAATCCACTGAGCTACGCCAGCCAGGCCTGTCCTTCTTCTTTAAATATGTGTGGAAGGAAGCTTTAAATTAGTTTTGGTACATTCAGTTTGGTTAGTAGTTTAGAGTTGTCTCCATAGAGGCCTGTGGAATGGAAGGAGGAGGAGTGAGGTTGGGGCTCTCTGGAGCAAGTGACTACCTGAAGAACATCTGCTTGCTAACCTAAAAACAAAAAGCTTTTCAAAGTGAGAGGATACAAGCGTTTATTTGAGAACAATGACAATAGCTATTCTGGAAGCACTGATTCAGACAGAAGCCCAAGTAATATTCCCTTTGGGAGACAAAGGCGAGGGGTATTTATGAGAAAGGGAAGGGGAACAATTACATCAGTGGAAAGAAGGGATTGCTATTGGTGCAGATTACATAATATAATAACACTAATTCTAGACAGTGTTTATAATTTTCAGTCAGGTAGTCATGAGTCCAGTAATAATAACGATTGGTTTCTCATTATTTTTGCAAACAGTTCTTTGTTTTAGGGCCACAAGGTTGCTTTAGGGTCAGGGGTATCCAACCTTTTGGTGTCTTGGGCCACACATAAAATACACAAACACTAGTGAAAACTGATAAGCACAACAACAAAAAAGGTTTTAAGTAAATTTACGATTTTGTATTGGGCCACATTCATAGCTATCTTGGGCCATATGCATCCGGAATGCTGCAGGTTGGACACCCCTGCTTGGGCCCAGTCCAAGGGTCATTTTCCCCACCCTCCTTTTAAAAATTATTTAAAAGAGAACTTGTATAGCTGAAAAACCTAAACATGTGACAGGGTTTTATAAATTCTTTTTAAAAATATATATTTTATTTAACCTTTACTATATTTTTATTACCATTTATTCCCCATATACTCCCCTCGCCCCATTTATGAGCCTGTTTTTGTTTTGCTTGTTCAGTTTGTTCATTAGCTTCCACCTATGAGTGAAATCATATATTACTTGTCTTTCTCTGACTGGCTTATTTTAATTAGCATAATGTTCTCCAAGTCCATTTTACCCTGTTTTAACATCAAAAGGTTTAAGGCTTCCTGGCTGGTATGTCTTAGAGGATTGAGTGCTGGCCTGCAAACCCAAGGGTCCCTGGTTTGATTCCAAATCAGGGCACATGCCTGCATTGTGGGCCAGGTCCCTGGTGCAAGAGGCAGTCGATAGATGTTTCTCTCCCTCTCTTCTTCCCTCCTTTCCCCTCTAAAATTATTTTTTTTAATGTTTAAGGCATAAGATGTGCAAGGCAATTCCTTTGGCATGGCAGCTACAACTCCATTTTTTTTTTAAGAGAGAGGGGAAGGGAGAGAAACACTGACATCAAAGAGAGACATCAATCAATTGCTTCTTGTATTTGCCCCAACCTGGGACCAAACATGCAACCCAGACATATGCCCTAACTGGGAATTAAGAACAGGTGACTTTTCGCTTTGCGGGAGGATGCCCAATTAACTGAGCCACACTTATCAGGGCACAACTCTATTTTAAAATGGCTCCATTTATTATTATTTGGACACTCTGGTTTCCTCAGAAATGATTCCCAATAGTACTCTAGGGAAAAAGAGGAACACAAGGAAGTTGCCTTTCTTGCCTGTATAGTCACTGATAGTAACCAACCCAGAGAACAGCACTCATTAAACCAAAAGATATTTCTTAGCCCAACAGCTGAGATATATTTATTTCCTTTTAGGAATGTACTGCCTATCTGAAAAGAACCATTACAAGTGCTCTTGTGTGCCAGGACAGTGGCTGACATAGTCATAGTGGCAGCACATTTGCAAAGGTGACATCTGGGCATGGAAATAAAGATTTGGAACACCATTGTTAGGATAGTGAACCAAGGCAGGAATGGGGAGGGAGACATGTCTCACCCATTAACTCAACAGTCCTGAGCCTTGTCTGGTAAGATTGCCAGGTATTCCAAACATCACAAGAAAAACCATGAAAGCACAGGAGGAAGGGAGGCATTGAAATTCTATTTGTATCATTTTCACTACCTGGGAAAGACAGCCTTTAAAACTGTGTATTCATCCCAAGGTCTGGACGGTGGAAGCAGAGGGGGAAACTGGAAGCTGGCTACAAGCATAGAACTCCTAAAATCCCAATAGTCAGTATACTCAGACTAGTTGCGAACCCACTTGCAGCTTTGTGTTTATGTATTTCATAAATAAACTTACTATCTCATTTCCACTATATGTGTTGTCTCTCAACTGAATTCATCTCTTGTGAGCAAGGCAAAAACCCAGAAGGGAGAGCACCCTAACTCAGGTCTCTCTGGCAATACCATGATCTCATTTCTTTACTAGGAATTCTCATTTCACTTGTAATTACAGGGACAGTGTCTGACTTGGGAGTTGAGATTATTCGTGATAAGCCAAAAAAAGGGGAGGAGAGAAAGAGAAAACACAACACAAATATTTATGAATTGTTTAAGTTACCAAAAGTCATTAATAATAATTGTGTAGTATCCCTGGCTGGTATGGCCCAGTGGATTGAGCATAGCCTGCAATCCAAAGAGTCGCTGGTTTGATTCCTGGTCAGGTAACATGCCTAGGTTGTGGGCCAGGTCCCCAGTTGTACATGTGTGAGAGGCAACCAGTTGATATATCTTTCACACATTGATGTTTCTATTCCTCTTTCTTCCTCCCTTCAAATCTCCCTAAAAACAAATAAAATCTTTAAAAATATTTTTAAAAAGTAATAATTGTATAGTTATTCTCAGATATATGCAAGAATGGCTCTGGGGAACATAACTGTGACAGGTGAAGAGAGTTAAAATGTCAGCACAATTTGACCTGAGGACACTGAAGTCTGAGAAGTGAGAGAATGCAGCCGAGCACACAGCTGTGAGACAACTTTGAAAACAAAAGACAAATACCCCAGCTATCAAGTAGCTTACACTGTATTTAAGAAAGACAGAAGAAGAGGCCCTGACTGATGTGGCTCAGTGGATCAAGCACCAGCCTGTGAACCAAAGGGTCCCATGTTGATTCCCAGTCAGGGCACATACCTGGGTTATAGGCCAGGTCCCCAGTAGGGGGCGCTCAGGAGGCAAACACACATTGATGTTTCTCTCCCTTTCCGCCTCCCATCCCCCCTCTAAAAATAAATAAATAAAATCTTTTTTTAAAAAGAGGAAGAGATAGAAAAAGAAAACAGTTACACGCAATATTAGAATGTGGTAGGCACATGGAAAAGAGAGATGATGAAGACACCAAGAAGTAGAGAATGATGTGTAATATTATACAGGCAAAGGAGGCTGACTTGTGCCCAGGTCTTAATTTATAAATGTGTCTGAGTGACAACACAGTAATACCATTGAAAGAAAAGTTTACTGTTATTCACAATTCCCCTAGAAGTGAGAGGCACAGAAGAAATACCAGGTTTTCATCAGTAGGCAGAGGCAGGAACCATGGGAAAGCCTAGGTCAGAGCCTTAATTATATCCTTTGTGGGAAACATAAGGCAGGGCAGAGTCAAGAGCTGATGATTGGCTAGTTTGAACAATTCCAGTGGACTTTGGGTTATACTGCCTGGTATCTGGCCCGGGGATGATTTAGGTTACAAAGGTAAGCCACTAAGTGCTTATGTAAAACCATGAGCCCATGAAAATACTAACACAAATTAAACTCCTTAAAGGAAATGAGAATATTTTCAATTGATTAGGGGACAATGGGCTAAGAAAAAACTCTTTCTATAAGACAGTTTTGCTCTTCAGTTTATTAGAGGGGAGAAATTTATTTCATCATGATTTGTCATTCATAGCCATATTGCTTAAATATATTGGAATAGAATATTTAGGTACTTTAGGTACAGGTTATATATACATTAAACTATTTTACATGAGTTACTTTCAAACATATAACAAATAAGATTAATGTTTAAATATAATTTTAGTTAAATATTGATAATCATAAAAATGCATAATTGTATATTTAGCAACATATGATATTTAATGAACAGGCATTATGTTTATAAAGTAGTTGTAATAAAGTCAAATGATTATTTAAAGATGAGAAATAAAGGTGAAATGAAAATGAAACTTTTTTAAAGTTTTCTTTAAGTACCAAAGACAAATTTTCTAAAGATCAATTACATAAAAAATGATAATTTTAAAGATATGGAAGGATTTGTTTTAAAGAAAACCAGAGCTGAACAGTAGTTAAAGCAGTAAAGTGGATTTTCATCAGAAACTATTGGAATGAACTTCACAAAGAACTGGGCTAAATTCCAAATATGGACACATCAGGGTTTATAGTTGACTCAGTGGATGGAAAATTACTAAGAGGGAACATCAGGTGTATGGAAGGATCCTTGCTAAGCTGATCTAATAGGATTCTTGCTGACGGCAGGCTAAGGTGATCAGCTATCACCTGGGAGATAATGGGATGAGGAATTTGACCAGCTATCGAGAGTGATCAGATATTGAGGTGGAGATGATTGTGGCTAAACCAACCTCATAGGATTCTTGCTAAAATTGGGCAATGCAAAGATGGGCATAGAAGTCCAAAATTGAGGCCTAGTAGGGAAGAAGATTCAGA